AAAAAAAAAGAAATTGATCAGGTTATAGATACCAGGCTAAGTAAGCTGACTTCCAGGTCCTGCTCAAACTCTTCTCTTTTCAAAGTTTCTTCAGCTAGTCGTTTCTCAGCATCTTTTACTCGCTGCTCAAGCTCCGATTTCTCCAATTCTGTCTTACAACAGCGTTCTTGTAGTTCTCCAGAAGTTTGTTTCAATTCTTCGCACTCTTGCACAGTCCTCTCCTTTTCCATTTTCAAACTGCTTATTTGAGTCTTAAGAATTTAAGCAGCTTCAGAGGTAAGACATTCATGTCCAACCTTTGTCAAAGATACGACCAACCTGCAGTGCGCGCATGTTGTTTATGATATGACACAAAAGGTCCTTGCCACGTACAGCTTTCAACTCTATTGGCATTCGCACCGTGTACATGTCTATCATATGAACCAGCTCAAAACTAAATTCCCAACAAATACAAAGCGAGCAAACTGCAAAATAATCTCATCTTGAACTCACGTGCAAAGTGAAAGATCCTGGCTCAATGTGCAGGTCAACTGGACCGAAGAATTGGCGTTTTTTCGCTCATGTAACAAGCGAACAATTTTTACAGGAAAATCGTCAAAGTCCACATTAAGATTCCATGTCTTCGCCAATGCCTTAAGGCAAATGTTACTAAACAGCTACTAAATAAGCAACTTTAATCAACATCTCACCTGGTATTTCGCCCGAGTTATACTCTCTGCATATAAGAACTCGAACTCGTCTGGACGACTTATCTCCAGCAGATACTCCTAGAATGTTTATAACAGCAGCGAGAATTTTTGCTATAAGAAAGTTTAAAACTTATACGCTCCTCATTCTTACCTTTTCATTACTTTCACGTCTTTCCATAAATTTTAAAACAACCTCAACAACAGATGACCTGTAAATGTTTATATGGAGAGCCGCCCAAAATTTCTTCAAAAGCTACATCAATGCAAATTCACATGTACTCAGGTCCATTTCTATTCGGCTGGAGTAGTGTTACAGGAAGAGAACGAAACAGCTGACTCTGGCCCTCAGAAGTTGTTGTCATAAGCTGGGACAATGAGCCTTTCTATTTGCTTTTTTTTATAAACAAAAAGGTGCACATACAAGTTACTAAGGATACGCACAGCAAAAAACAGCAGAAGGCACACAGAGCATTATGCATATCCAAATTTATTGAATCGAGCACAAACTCATCGATAAACAACCAAAACAATTTGATCATTTGCGGAAAAAAAGGATAGGAGATCTGCTACGTTCGTGCGTTTAACTCCAGAACCTGTAATTAATGTCTAGTAGCAGATAAACAATAAAGGCTGCCTTGATTTAATCTGAGGTGCGGCGACGATAGTAGAGAAGGTTAGACGGATATCTTGCGATTTTCCTAGAGTTTATTCACTATGCACGCAATACCCCAAAAGTCTCAAATCAACCAACAACTAATTCAAATACTGTTTTTACATTCACTAAAATCTGTATATCGTGTTAGCATCACCACATGTGGAATTTGAAGCGCTGCAACCACTGCACTAACTTTTCCCCCTTTAATAGTGGAATTATCTGCGCAGTAATGGATGCTTGATTTGCGACCAGATAGACTCAGGAAATTCCTTTTGATAATATTAATCTGAGAAAAAATGTTTTCGCACCTTGTTTTAATTTCAAAAGCAATCTAGAATAAAGCAAGGTTTCTGTTGCTAACACAAAGATGTCTACTGCAGACTAAGAGCGCAAACCTACCTTGTTTTAATTTCAAAAGCAATTTAGAATAAAGCAAGGTTTCTGTTGCTAACACAAAGATGTCTACTGCAAACTAAGAGCGCAAACCTTCGAGTGTATCTTCTCAAATTGGTAAGCTAAATCTGGATACAAGAAAGGTCGATGATCATTCCTATGGTCATCGGGACTGTACTCGGTTGCGTGATAGGCTAAAAGTAAAATTAGAATTTAATTGTCCTATGATACTCCACGTTCAGAATTGGATTACCAGGAGTCGCAACTGTACTTTTATGTCTATTGACTCGATATCGCCAAAAAAATCTCTTCACTTTCTCTTCTATCTGGAATGACAACAACTAGCATCCCTACAATGATTATGATAATGATCAAATACTTCATCGTACGAATACTTTGGATGCCACATCGAGCACAGAGCCAGAAAAGTGCTATACGGTCCCAAACCATGTGGACGTCTCAGACGTCCAATGACAGAAAGCTCATCATACGTTAAGCCAATTTCCTCCTGAAAGGACGCACCATTCTTCGTCTGGAATAGAAACATAGGAGCTGATGGCTGGCTCAACCCAATGCAAAACAGTTACAACGCTTGCACCTATCGAGTATTCTTAGAAAAAATGTTGCTGATCAAGATCAATTTATGACCGAGATTATAGCAACTGCTCTACCTGAAGATCAAGATTCGGACTTGCATACTTGCAAAGAATGGACAGTATCAATATGGAATCAAATAGTATAAAAAAGATGCAATCTGCCACGGCAAGATCATCAGGTACGAATGATGAACGGCTAATTGCTGATTTTGCCATAAACCGTCCTCCTTCCTGCTTTTGCCCATTTACTTCCTCTATGCTGTAAATAATATTTCCGTAAATTCGATTATGTTTCTTAAAAGATCTCATTTAAATAAGGTTTCCATGACCATGACAGATGCAAAACAATGGTTCGCTTCAATCTAACTCTAGTTCTATCATTGGCACGTCAATTTCTAATGAGCCTTAACAATAACAACCGAAACGTGAAAGTACCTGTACTTCCTTAAATTCATTTTTATTGCAACGGGCTCCCACTAGTCTTTTTACCACACGAGGTGTTACACATATTCATGGAACAAAGGGCGGCCTAGTTTGTCTATTATCGTAGTGCAAAAAAGCACCTCATCAGTTTGTGCTACTTCTCCGTCGACGGGAGGTCTCAGCTCTGCAGTTGGAACCGAATCAATGATACTAGAAACTTATTTTTTCTTTATAGTCAGAAAAGGGCAAGAACAACTCACTCCATCAGTGACTTCATACCGTACTCATCGTGGACTTTGCGTAAAAACTTGCGTAAATCTGCCTTGCTAATTGATCCAATTGGATTGATATCTGCAGAAGAACAGTCGTATTTCGTCATGTAGCCTACTAGCCTAAAAAATAGGATACTGCAATTATCGAGAAACTATAAATAGTATAATCTATCTATAAATAATATAATAGTAAAATCGTTACGTCTCGTCCACGTTGGATGTACCCAACACAAGTAGGCTTCCAGGAAGGCCCTTCGCAATGAGACATAATTGCGCAAACAAATAAGCTAGAACCATTCGAATTCGTGCCTGTAGGTTTTGAAGAGCCAGTCCTTGTCTGGCATCAACACTCTGTAACTTTTTGATGTTTTTTGATGTTAACCAACACACTATGCGTTCACATGTACGCCATACATTGAATGTAGGAATAAAACCTTGAGCCGCACTAAACACTGCGAGTACAGCAGAGACTATAGTATCAATAAAGAGGCTGAAAGAAATATATCAATGCGGATAAACTAAGGATATTATAAGATATTCAACAAACCTAGAGTGATTACTATTGATGTCTCTAGCCAATCCATCAGCACAAGCTCTGGTTTCAACAGAAGAGTGTTCACTGGCCATGTAGCAAGTAAAAAGTATCTGAAGATACAAAAGTAGGAGAGTAAAGCATAGCTTAAAGGCACCTTATTGCATAGTTCCGCTGGATCTTCGCCAACACGTTCCCCGTTCAGATAGTAAGCAGGATCGTCTCCACCTAGGATGAATGCATCAGGATAGTGGTTGACAATTAACACTGCTTAGAAAGAACTATATTGACACGTATTGAATTGCAGATTTATAATAAATGCAAAGCCTTTCAGAGGAGCGGGTTTCGAGAAGCAATGGATATGAAATGAGCAAAAGAAGCAAGAGCTGTACCATCCGTATGCTTTCTACGCTCGACTGCAGCACACACTTTATTGCACATAAGACGAACCATAACAGCAACCGATGAGCTGTCTTGACCACCAGACAGCGGGACGAAATACCCACTCTTAAAGCGCTTCATGGTTTAAAAAAATTCGTGGTAGATGAACCCACCTACCATCTTACTTCTTCGTAGGTAATGCCACAGCCAAGCGGGTGGACCATGACAAAGCTCCTCGGTAGGGCTTAATTGAAGCCTTTCGATGTTAGTGATTTCTTCAGTTAACGGCAAAGTCGGATCGTTTATAGTGATACTCGATTTGAAGTCGATTGTAGTGTACTCAGAAAGAAGAGAAGCCTAGGATAGAGCTTACTGACTAAAAGTAAGTGCAAGTTTAGTTGTACCTCATAAGTGTTACTGCTCTTCTTTTGGCGGTAGCAGATTGTTTCGTTAAGATTTAAGACCGCTGTGGCGACACACTTAATAATTTAATATGACTTTATTTACTTTACT